AAATAAAGTTTGTCTAAGTCTAAAAACTGAGTCAAAGTCCAATTGACTCCAATTTAATCCAGTTTAATGACCCAGATGACAGAAAGTTTGCACAGGCAGGTTCTGACCATGAATATGCCCATGCTGCTTCACATTGATGCACTTTGAGCTAATAAACATTGAGATCTTATGTTGTTATGCCGGCAGGTTTTTTGCCCACCTGCCCGGCCATTGTTGGGTTGATTCTGCAGAATTACTCTGCAAAAGTTTATGTTTTGTTTTTTCTCCTGTTTACATGTTGGCCAAAGGATTACTGTCGTATGAGGCAGATTTACGTAAGCCATTAAGCACATTCTCTGGCATGGGCCAGAACTCTGTAATTCTTCAAGCTATTGCCAACAAAAATCAACATCATTACTTTGCTTGGTCATAATGGCATCAGTTTCTTCTTTTGATTAATTTTTTTTTCTTTTGAGTATTCACTTTTCTGCGATTCAGTACACTTGACGACAGTGATCATATCTCCCTGATATAAATAAAAGTCGGAGTTATTTTGCCTTGCTCTCAGATGGAACTTTTTCAGGCACATTTAGATCAACTCGTGAATAATAACCCTTCTAATGTTTTCAGATACGTGTTGTATCCTCTGGACTTGTACAACGACAGCGCACACTATGCTCTGACTAAATTCAAGAAGCAGTTCCTTTATGACGAAATTGAGGCGGAGGTAATGAACTGTAGATGTGTTCTGGTTGTTGTGATGTTCCTTTATTAATGTGCGATCTATTGTATGTGGGTGGGAAAAAAGCTTTATGACAAAACATTCTTTAGTCATTTTATGCATCATAAATCCATGCATCAGCTCTCTCTGGTAATCTCTGCAGCATATCTCTTATTAAGTCATTGCATAAGAGTTGGACTCAGTTATATGGAGTGACATCAGCTTTTTTTTTTCTTTAAAATCAAATACATTGAATTGATACTTCAACAACTGAGCCAGAAAAATAACTTCAGATTGATTTTTCAAATGCAGAGCTTTAGTTTGTTCTGTTTACAAGGCTTTCTAACATTTTTTTTTTTTTTTTAGGTCAACTTGTGCTTTGATCAGTTTGTTTACAAACTGGCTGATCAGATATTCGCCTACTACAAGATACTCGCCGGAAGGTAAGAGCTTTTGTTTTCCCCTTTTCACTCCATGTCCAGGAAGTCTTTTTATACAACAGATCAATCATAAAAATAAAAAATAAAAGATTTTATAGGATTAAATGATTGGTTGATCTGGCGGATTGAAAGGCTCTAAAAAGGAAACAGAGATTATCAGAAGTTTCTGTACTCGAATTATAATTGTCACAATATCTTTGGACTTTTAATGATGTTTGTTTTTTGTAGATTATCCTACAAATAACTTAAATTAATTAAAGAAAACGAATTTGGTGCTCAAGATTAAACTTCTTATTCTCTTTTTTTTTTTTTTTTTTTTACATGGGTTCAAAATCATGCCCACTATACAGACTCAAACGTGCATTGATTAATTTCAGTCTGTAAGTTGCAGAAAGCATACATCTTCTAGCTATTAAAAATCTTCTGGTGGAATATTTATCCCCTCTTATTATCTAAACTGATAAAGTTCATTTGAATTGGTACCTCCATCCCAAACGCGACTTTGATTAACATTTAAGATCATTGTCTGGTTGCAGCGTCTAACTTTGTCCTGGTTTTGACAACATAGCTGATGGTTTGAGATAAAATGAAATGACTTTAAGGTATTCCACCTTTGCTATTTATCCACTCATGATACTGCCGCCACCGTGCCCCTCTAAAAACAGCTCAGTCTTCATCCCCTCTGAGTAATAAACCTTCATCCTGAGACATTTGTCCTTACTCTATTCTGGAGCAGATGAACTGATTTTGGGTCGGCAAACTCTCACTTAAAGCCTCTTTGAAGCGCATAAAGAAACTGCTGTTTAAGTTTCTGATAAGCATGACTCTTGGTGCTTTCGGACCAAGAGCTTCATTTGAGTCAGGTGGTTGAAGTTTGAACAGAAGTGGACAATAGTTGGGCCATATCACAGCATCTCAAGGAAATAAAAACAACTCCAGTATTAAATTTAAGTTCAGTGTTTATTTGGGTCTCTTTAGAGAGGATATACTGTATAGAATAAGCAAGATGGAGTTTCTTTAAAGTGGAACCCAAACCAGATGTAAAAGCATAATCCAACACCCAGACCAAATTTAAAAACACCCACCAGAGTAACCAGTACCCAAATGTGGAGATAAGTGGAACAGTTGTTGATGAGGGTGGCGAAGAATAGTGACAGTGAATTCATGACTGTATAATCTGAGCACCTGAATTAAAAAGCCCTGCTTACTAACAGGGATTAAATCAATGAAATGACTGCAGAATTAAAAATGTTTACATAAAAATGTCCGAACTTGGACAGTAACATAAAGATAACACTCTTAAAGCCCAATTTATACAGTTTGTCTTAAAAGAAAAAGGTTGATTCGGGGATGATTGAGCTTCTAACTGGCTTTTTGTTCCTGTTAGCCTGTTACAGCTGTGCATAAATACATTTATTTACACTTGGAAAACTAAAAGTGGTTAAATGTTTTTCCTTACCACAGTCCAGCCAAATAAACCAGGTGCTCATTTCATACTTTTCATACATGCAGGGCTTTATGTAAAAGTTACAGGCTAAATGTCCATGAACATCTGTAATATTTAGGACTTTGTGTGCATCTTCTAAAATCAAATACAAACAGCATAAAAATAAAACAACAAGCCGGTCCCATCTAGGCTTAATCGGAGAAAATGACAGACGAAGTGTGCTCCTGATGTCCAGTCTGCTCCGTTGATTTGTTTTGGTTGCTGTAACCGCAGAAAATCCCGCTTCACAAAGATAGGATGTTATAGATAGTCTTGAACTGAATTAACCTGTGACAAGAGGCACAGATGCACCAACTGATGTAATTGGGAGAGAATACAGCATTTTTTTATATTTTTCAAAATAAAACATCACTCAGACTCTGATCCTCGATAAATTATATATATATATATATATATATATATATATATATATATATACATACACATACTTTTTTCTGTGCGGCCCGGTACCAAATGACCCACGGACTGGTACTGGTCTGCGGCCCGGTGATTGGGGACCGCTGTTCTAAAGCATCCAGGGATATTTTATTTCTTTTTTTTAGCTGGTGTATCAGTCAAATTTCATTATGGTTGCAAAATGGCAATAAATACTGCTGATTCCAGGTTGCTGATTTGGTCTGATGGTTGATGTGGAGCGCAGAAAAACAATTATAGAAAGAATTTTAAAACCTTAAAAAAAAAAAAATGACATGAAAGTATGAAATAATGTGTGCATATTTTATCTAAACTACTTCCTTTGAATCCTTTAGTCTTCTACTGGATAAACGTTTGAGAGCCGACTGCAAGAACCAGGGCGCCAACATTCCCTGGCCTACATCCAACCGCTACGAGACGCTGCTGAAGCAACGCCATGTCCAGGTGAGTTCTCTACCTGCTGCATACTTTGTGGTTTCACCTTCACTGTCTTTCCCTCCCTCGGTCCGTCCATCCCTCACTAACAGAACGTTTGTCTCAGCTCCTGGGCCGCTCCATTGATCTGAACCGACTCATCACCCAGCGCGTTTCGGCAGCTCTTCACAAATCACTGGAGCTCGCCATCAACCGCTTCGAGAGCGAGGACCTCACCTCCATAATGGTGCGTCACCTCAGCCCTCTGCAGGACAAAACATTCTGCATGTGGTAACTGTTGTGCTGGATTTTTATAGGAGCTGGAAGGTCTCCTGGAGATCAATCGCATGACGCACAAACTCCTCAGCAAGTTCTTGACCCTGGACAGCTTTAATGCCATGTTCCGCGAAGCCAACCACAACGTGTCTGCTCCGTACGGCAGGATCACGCTGCACGTCTTCTGGGAGCTCAACTACGACTTCCTGCCCAACTATTGCTACAACGGTTCTACCAACAGGTGGGCTGGTTTGGACTATAATATATATGCTGCCTTTTGTTCTTAGACTGTTTTACTGATTGGTCAACAATATATAAAAAAACTGTTGGAAGACAGAAAATGTGTTGTGGATGTCTTAGTGTAGCTCACTAAGATTGGAGTTACACAGAAAATATTTCAAAATGTAAACATGAGTATCACTGAAAGGTCAGGGGGATCAGTTTGGGTCTAAACAATTAAATGAAAACGGTCCACTCAGCAGAAACAAAACCTGAAACCAGCTGAGCTGTAGCAGTCAGAGTCGATCTGCTCACATTTCTAAAAATAAAAACTCAAATTAAAGGTGTTTGTGGTGCATTTTTAATGTCCTAAGTTTGATTTTGGATTTAAAATCTAATATCAAAACAGCCTGTTTTATTTTACTGTTAAGTCTCAGTTTTTGTGACAATATTAGTTGCCTTTAGAGGAGCAGGAAGTGATGGAGACACCTAGTGTTTCAAATTGGAACTGTTTTAAACCAATCCACACCCTCAGCTCATGTAAAATAAAACATTAATCCAGGTTGCCATAAAATAAAATACTTAATTTTATCCCTAAGCGATTAAAGCATACTAAACTATATAGTGTAAAATAATAAATATTGTCAAGAGAAGGGATGCATTTACCTTCTCTGTAATATGCTTTGTCATCTGACACGCTAAGAGGAGTCTGACAAAGTCTGATTGCACCATGTTTGTTCTGTCATTCTTCATTATTTACTATTTATGATGGTTAGCAAAGATGATCCTTAAAGCTACCAAATCCATGCATGTTTATTTCTTTGTTTTTAGCTCCATGTCATCTGTTTCTGTGTAATGTAACCAGCTGTTTATGTTGGCGTCATTTTGAATAATCGCCTTCTGTGCGTTCAGGTTTGTGCGCACCATCCTGCCCTTCTCCCAAGAGTTCCAGAGGGATAAGCCCCCCAACGCTCAGCCCCACTATCTTTACGGGTCAAAGGTCAGTGTGTTTCTCTGAGGATGACTCGCTTCACTGTGTTCCATAAGCAAAGGATAGACTTCTGTCATGATCGGACCAGCTGTGCAGAAGCACATGTTCAAACTAAAGGTTAACTGCAGGTTGATGAGGTCACTGTAGAATAGGAAGGAAAGGACGTTTTGATATAGGAAGCTTTACAAAGTCTTAAAGCTTAAAGTCTTATGCAAAAAGTTGAGTGGGAAAAAAAAAGCTCCTCCAAAAACTAGTGGAGCAAAAAGTTTAATAAGACCTTTTAGTAGGTTTGTAGGTCTAGTGGAGCGATTCACTGTAACGGCTTATATGTTTAGATTAATTTACTTAGAATGGTACAAATATATCGTTTTGAATGGATCTTGAGAAAACATCTATTCCTGTAAACACAAATAGGATTTTCATTGAGTGGGTAAAACGATGAGCGATAATTCAGCTGGGGCAGAACAATACTGTGATGACCTTAATCCAGTCGATTAATGCTAGATCTCTGTCAGCCAGCTTAGCTCTCATGCTCCGGGGTAATTACATGTCCAGCGGGCTGCGCCAGCATCAGCGAGGACTGCATGGCTGCGCCCCGTTTGATACTTTCCTCGCTGCCGCTTCTGACCGCGAAGAGGTGCCCCGAGCTGGACATGTCTTGACGCACGGAGGAGGTGACAACAGGGCGGCTCTCTGGAGTTCTCCCTGGCAGGTAGCACATGTTGTGAAGGCATCCCCACATCAGGATGCCGGCGATGACCAGCAGCAAGAGGCAGCAGGTCAGCCACACGCCCACAGCCAGCTCCCAGCCCGCCCGGTCGTGGCCTTCGCTGTTTTCGCCTGGGGTGCTGAACACCTGGCACTGTTCCCGCACGGGGTCGGCGGCCTGGCACGTCACACAAAGGAAGTAGGCAGTTTGGGGCAGGAGGTTGCCCAGGTATGTGCTGGTCTGGGTGACGGGGATGCGCTCCTCGTGCCTGAAGCTCTTTCGCTTGTAGCCCATGATGAGGCTGTTCCAGTTGGGATCGTACATGACGCTGTAGAAGGTGTCCAGGCAGGTGGGCAACGCCGGCCAGTTCACCCTGGCTGAGGTGGAGGAGATGTTGTAGACCGTTACTCCCATTATGAAGCAGCGGTTCCCAGTCCCATCAAAGAGCTTCCTGTTTGGTTTTAAAGCTGTTGGCTCGCAGCTTTTAATCAAACTGTAAAAAAAGAAAATAAGAGGGCGATGAAAATGCTGATTAACAACAAAATATCCACCACAGTCACTCTATTTCAATATAACAACATGTTAACTCGAAGAAAATATGATGCCTACCGCCTACCGCCTCTTTGAAGCTTCTATAATAAAATTAAGTCAAATTCCTGAATCAAAGATAAAAGAAATAGGAAATTAGTGATGAAGACGTTTTGTTCAGGCTCTTTTCTTTACTCACGCTGCAAAGAAAAAGATAAAAACGGATACTGAAATACTGGAAATTTGGACATTTAATATAAGCAATAAACTCTCATAACAGGATAAATTATCTAACCCTTACAAACGTGAGATATTATACAGTGAATCACAGTAAAAACAAATAAATCCGTATTTTTCTTTAAATAGGTTTATCCTTTCCTTCAATTCAGCAGGTAAGGCAGTTTCCCAACGGAATTAGATTATTGATCTTTAAAGTAAGAAAAAAACAATTTGATTATCTTAATTAGGGTGTATGGTATTTAATAATGTTATTCTAAAATTTATTCTCAATTTAGTTGCCTAATTTCTGTATTTAGCTGCTTAAATAAAGGAGGATTAAGGACTAATACTTATTTTATAAAGGTTTGTTTTTTAGATCAGTTTTTTTAGTGCATGTAGAGTTATGTGATGCAGACCTTACACACTACAAAAGTGAATTTAAAGTAATATTTTCATATAATAATTATATTTGATTTGAGTAGGTGGTTAAAATATGCCGGTTAAAAAAAATCCTCTCCATGATCTTATTTCCAGTGTGGTTTGTATATTAATCTTATTTTAAAGGCCAGAATACTCATTCCATTGGCAGATAGATACACGTATCTACTCAAAAGAAGGGCGAAAGCACTTATTTCAAGAACATTTACCTTATTTTAGATCAATATTTGCAGTGAATAAATATTTTCCTTAATGAGAAGTTGGTAATAGTGGTGAGAGAAACGTGGCTGAGAAAAAAGAATCACACCAGCTGCAAAGTCTTGAGTTAATCAGCTGCTATTTGAAAACTTTCTTTAATAGAACAATTTTAAATCCTGACTGCCTGAAAGATCAGATACCTACAGCTTAGAATTTCTGTAAAAGATGTAATGATGGCTTTCTAATCTGGTTTAAACCATTTATAACAAATATCCTGTCAAGAAACCAAAGCCTATGGAAACAGGAAACCCAGGATTTTGTTGTTAATGGCAGGTATAGCGTCTGAAATGAGAAAAGACATTTCTGCAAAGTTGCATTAAAGATATTTTAAAAGTTATATTTGTAACCTAAGGAGGTATAAAACACACTGCTTGTTTGTGTAGCATTGAAATCACCAGGCCTCGGGTCTGTGGCGTGGAAGCTGGTCTGTTTGATGTCTCTCTGTTCATCTTTACAGGATTTTGGGTGTAGGCAAATTACGTTGCCATGGTTACTATGTGCTGCATGTTGCAAAGAGCTTTTTTCCCCCCATTCATTGCCAAGCAGGCTTCAGTGTTTGTTTCGCAGAGCCGTCTGTTTCTGCATGTTTCAAGAAAGTTGATTTATTTTACTTTTTTAAAAAAGGAGGAAAATTATTGGAAATAATACCGAGCATTTTATGATGGATTATGTTGGAGATTGCGGGAGGCAGATGAAGATGTGTGCAGATGTTTGCTGGATTACATAACATAGGATTGTTGTTGTAGAGGCTTATCTTTACTCCCCGTCACCTTTCATGTCGAAGGTGATGATCTGCATGCCCTAAACCAGCATTAGAAAAACCTTTCTGATCCAAAGGAAATGCGGAAAGATGCGATTTTAAGGGAGGATTAAGAATCCGGTTTGATTCAAAACTTTTTGGACGAGAATCAATATTAAATAAAGTATCAGGAAACTTTCCTTTACTTTACGCCTCATTTTCACTTTATTATCCTTTTTTTTATTTAATTGATCTCTAATCTTTGGATGTTTTACTCACTCTGAATTATAAATTATAGATTAAAACATTTAAAATCATTCAATATAATCCAACAAAAGCATGTATTTGAACCTGACTTTTTAATTACTATTTTTTGTCCATCAGATTTATCCCCTTTACATAACAGCAGTAGTGAGATTTTTCTGTGTATAATAGTTCACAGCATATCATTAAAGGCAAACTTACCAGGAAAATGGCACCAGTTTGGAATGATCATCCCAGTGCGTCGTGTCTCAGCAGATTAAAAACACCAGTGGATTCTGGTGTTCGGTCATCCCTGCCATCATCAGCTAACGGAGATGCTGGATGCCGAAGTGTGGGATTGAAGCAGAGATCAGCGGCTCTTTATCTCAGATTCTGCAACAGTAGAGGGAGCGTTAGTGGATTAGAGCGATGGCAGGAGAGGGAGCTAAAATCTCCTGTTATGGATGAGAAAAAAAGTACATTTTTCATCCATGGGTCAGCCCCCTCACAGGGATTGTTTGCTGCTTCCTTTAGGCTTTGCTAGCTCATCTAGTGACATTGTGATGATGCAGATCATTTAATTTCCTGTTGACCAGGAAGGTGGCGTGGGATAAATCTCGGACATTTATAGATTTTGAAAAGAAAATGCAGACTTAAACCTTAAAGAACGAGTTCATGTTAAGCTGTCAGCAGTATAGATTAGTCAGGTCCTGGTTAGACAAAGATTACAGACCCGAAAGAAAAGATCTGAGAAACGAATGGAGAATCTGGTGTTTTCATGTAGTGACTTTACTTTTGGAGTAAAAGATCAACTTAAAGTTGTAAATGTTTTTATTGTATGTTTTTGTTTTTAAGGACAACAGTAGTAAAGATTAAATGATCTCTGTCACTGAAAATGTATTACTGTGGGCCTGATGTTAAAAAAAAAAATACAGCAAAATTACAGCAATTATATTCTACCAGGAGGTTTGCTGGTAGAAAGACTGATGCAATTAAACTTTTAAATATTTTTTTTGAATATTTTTTAAGTTAAGGCTATAAAGTCCAGAATGCAGCAGAGAAGAAAAATGAAACGATTTGAGAGGTTTTCCATCTTCTGCTGCTTTTTCTTCTGTTTTTACGCTGGTTTAGTTAAATATAGGTTGGTTAAGGTTCATTTTGTTTAAAATATTCTTATGTTGAGTTTAAATTAATGCAACAGTAATTATAGATATTGATCTCCTTTAAAGACTGTATGCTTGCATCTGGAAATACCTTCAACAATGAGCAGATTGTTTGTAGCATATGGTCTGATTTCTCCCTGATTGTTTTCTACCCCCTTTTTCTGCCTGCAGACGCTGAACATGGCTTACAGCAGCACATACAGCACCTACAGGAACTTCCTGGGCCCTCCACACATTAAGGTCATGTGCAGACTGCTGGGCTACCAGGGCATTGCTGTGGTGATGGAGGAGCTCCTTAAGGTCGTCAAAAGTCTGGTGAGTGTGATCTGCAGCACTGGGGGTAGACTTCTGTTGCTTTAGTTTGGACGTCCTGCATCATGACCGGCTCCCTTTCAATCATTCAGCTTCAGGGCACCATACTGCAGTATGTGAAGACTCTGATGGAGGTGATGCCCAAGATTTGCAGACTTCCACGCCATGAGTACGGGTCACCCGGTAGGTGATAACGCAGATCCAACAGAAACCCTGCTGTAGTTGTAGATGGAACATAACTCGTATTTTTCTGAATGCATAATGTTGCATCTTGCATAATATAAAAATCCTTTAATGATCAATTAGTGTTGGTGTATTTATTTTCTTAAAACATTCATGCATCATTTTATTTCAGGCATCCTGGAGTTCTTCCACCACCAGCTGAAGGACATTGTAGAGTATGCAGAGCTAAAGACGGTGTGTTTCCAGAACCTCAGGGAGGTGGGCAACGCCCTCCTTTTCTGTCTGCTGAGCGAGCAAAGTCTGGTACGGAAACAAAAAAAAACGGGATTCGGCTGCTTTAGAGTGTCTCTTTGCTTTGCAGTTGTTTACCTTTATTTGTTTTTATCTTACAGTCTCAGGAAGAAGTTTGCGATTTGCTTCATGCTGCACCTTTCCAAAACATTCTGCCCCGAGTCCATGTCAAAGGTAAGCTCCTTAAAATCCTTTACAATTCATTTATTCAAGGTAAGGCGCCCTCACTTTGTTTGGATTATTGTTATAATGCTAAAACATGCATTGTTGGGTAGATGTAGATGCAAATGTCTGAAATCTGACAGCAGTTACAGGGTTTCTGCGGGTCATTAAAATTCATTAAAAGTCATTAAATTATAATTTTTTTTAAATTAAGGCCTTAATTGGCATTAAAATTCATTAAATTTGATAATTGTTGCCTTAAAATGCTTAGGAAAAGAAGCTTGAGGCGGAGAAAAGGCCAGAGAATGGGGAAAATGCAAATTTTAACCAAAGTGGCGGGAAAACGAGGAACTTGGGACATGGCTGCAGCTTGTCCACGGTGAAGATGATGAAGGATTTTGTCATTTGTATATATATATATATATATATATATATATATATA